CAGACAAGCAAGAAAAACGAACAGCTAAGCACAAATTGCTTTTCATAATAATCTAAACACATTGTCGATATTAACTCATTACCTGCCATGAGCTCCTTTTGCGGATCTGTTAAAATCAAACTCCCTACATGTTATTTCTTGTATTTACATTGAATTGCTTACATGCATTGCATTTGCAGAGGTATATTTTATAATACTTAGCCTTTAAAGTTTTTATTATTAGCCGTAAGACATTTTCTGTCGTAATTTTACATTTCACGAGTAGAAAAATAATGACTATTTTGAAAAGTATTTTTTTTATTATTTCTAATCAGTATTATTTTTTGATGTTTTATACACATACATATTTGATGTTCTAGTTTCTATAAAATCGACAATAGTAACTACTGAAATTAAACATAAGGAATAAATAAACTCCAAAGACACCTGTCTGGGCCAAAAATGCGCATTAAAAAAAATTGGCAGTTAATGGGTTAAGTATTTCTGTTCAATTATTTAATGTGTCGAGTCCCTTTAGGACATAGGTGATCATGGCTCGTCACAATTTCTTCACCTTTTCAGCTCATAACAATGTTTGGTGGTACCCTTCCGCCCCCACTTTTGAATTTAGTCGTAGGTTATTAAAGACCGCCAACATGGTTAGCGGCAAGAACATTTAAAATTTCCAGTACCTCTAGATTTGTAGGAATCATCATTGAAATACTCGAGAATCGTCTGTATTCCAAGTAAATGAACTTCTTTCATTGGGGTTTTATGAAGTTTTAATCTTCCTTACTTTGATAGATTTTTTTTTTCTTTCTTGTATTTCTTTCTTTATTGTATTTTGTTAAATTAAAAACCCTGTAAAATATTACAACCGTTAAAAAGATTAGTGGGAGACAAGACCCCACCCCGGCTGTTACGGCCCTGTGAAATGAATGGCTGCAAAGCTATATGAATCTTAGATATGAATAAGGGTATTTTCCAGCGGGCCCACGTCGCTACCGAATGTGGTATAAGTTTGAGGTTTAAAGTATGTTTAACGGCAATAAACCCAGCACTCCCCCGAAGGAGAGGTACTGCCTGGGGTTTGGACCTAATATATAACTTCTTCACATATATTCTATACGAGGTAAGTATTTAATAATTTTAAATAATTTTCTAAGCGTTGCTTATATGTGGCACAAGACGGAAATATGGTGCATCCCATGAGAATCGAACCCACTCAGTCAGTTATGTGCCGTGTGTGATACACGCTTAGTCGATCAAGACTAGGCGGGTTTTTTCCCGCGGTACGTTTAGTGGACGGGATAAATATTTAAAATTTAGCCTTAAGGTATCAAAGACCGCCAACATGGTTAGCGGCAAGAATATTTAAAATTTCCAGTACCTGTAGACTGGCAGAAATCACCTTTGAAATAATAGAGAACCGTCTGTGTTCCAAATGAAAGAACTTTTTCCAAAGAACTATTTTTTTCTTTCTTGTATTTCTTTATTGCATTTTGTTAAAACAAAATCCTTACAGATTTTGCGGATTCTTCTGAGATATAGCGATAAAAATGAATAACGGTAAACGATTTTTCAAGTCATTACATCCAAAACTTGGCAGAGATATCCTCTCTTGATTAGAAAATGATTACGTGTGGTTATTTATGATAAGATCTGTGAAGTACGGTGCTTACGATTACACATGTTCGACTACCTAAAGCAATCTCTACAGGAATATTTATTGTTGAAAGAAACTACAAACTTGACAATGCACTTTGATGGGCTTTAATAAGTAGCAAATTAAAGGGGATTATCATTCTCGACTCAGAGGCGTGAATCGATCCGGACCAAGAGCAGCTAGAATATTTAAGGAGTAACTCTTCCTTTGCAGTTGTTTGTGTTTGGAAATTTTTTAAAACCATGGGCATTGTTTATGTAAAGAAGCCGCATTAATATGTATATATGATTTTTTATACTTTACACTCCTAAATATTATTGATACAATCAATCAGAGCAAATTGACTGCTTACATCTCCAAATGCATTTTCATATTAAAAACCTTTGTTATTACTATTTGTCTGTTAATAATGACTTTTTTCACGTGCCTACTCAATCAGCTCTTTCTAATATCTGTGTATGAGAGAAACGAGTTCGTTGGGAAAAATTTGTCACAAATATACTTACCATATATATATATATATATATATATATATATATATATATATATATATATGAATGTAATGAGAACGAAAATAATATATAAATTCTAACGTTCATAGTATTAATTCAACAGACGGCTCAATATCAATAGTAGAGCAGTAATTATTTATTATAATTTTTTCATATAGACAAAAACAATTTACTCACTACAAAGATGCAACCTCGTTACGGTGCATTTAGTTGCATTTGACTGGTGAGAACCAAAATTGTTCATAAACATTTTGGTTCTCACCAGTGGAGGTGAAACTAAATACACTAAAACAGGGTTGCATCTTTGTAGCGAATAAATTGTTTTTGTTATATATATATATATATATATATATATATATATATATATATATAGTGTTTAATAAATAAATGAAGCGTCTACTCAAAAATGATGAATAAATAAAAATCCAGCCGTTCTTTAGAAATTGCTTTGTTTACGTAACAGCACGAAACTAAATGAACGGGAGTCTTAGAAATATTTGTGTTTATAAGGCACTATTTAATCTTTGCTTGATTGACTTTATTTGACCGAGTCGGTCTAAAGCATGTCGCATCTAACGACGGTTTCATCAGTCAAGGTAGTCACAGGTTCGAATCCTACTGGAGGGCGTATATTTTCCTCTAATAAGATTCCCTGAATATTCAGGCTGGTAGACGAAAATAAATAAATGTATCGTCTACTCTATTATGAGTATCCACTAAAAATAATGTTCCAAAAATAAAACCTGATACAAACACACACACACACACACACATATATACATATATATATATATATATATATATGTCTGTATCTTTGAGATGTGGTATTATGATTACTTACATTATTTACATTATTCGGACTGTTATCCTCATCTCCATTGCCATATTCACAACGTTTCGGCCGTTGTACGCTCCGGCCTTCTTCAGGTGATTGAAATTTCGAACTGAACCCCTTATTTCGTGAATATGGAAACAAAGACGTGGACAACAGTCCAAACAATGTAAATAGTGTTAGCAAGCGGCGTTTACTTTTCTTTTTTAATATATTCACTCCAAGCAAGGCGATAATGCTACTAAGACGCATGGCTACTGGAAGTGAAAGAGAAGGAAAATACTTTAGAAAGAACTTAACACCCACTTTAAACAGGAAACAAGGGATAAGGCTTAAATTAAAGATGGTTTCGATTTGTCCGTTCATACCCTAAAAGTCTCACTACAATCTCTAACTTCTACCAATCACAATAGGAAGCATCTGACTGTTACTCTTTTTTTTTAAAGACTTTCTCATAACAATTGACCTGCGTCTATTGACACGTCTAGTGCCTCCAAATATTTTAATACCCATTTCTGATAGAGCACGGTTCTCAGGCTACTAACTAGTTCGGTTTCATGTTGGGTTGGCTGCTTGTTCAGAAGCATAATCTTTTACGAGTGGACAGTGAACAGAACAAACTCAATAACTTATAGATGATAGCTTTTTAAAAATCCATAGGATAATCTCATGTATTTATAATGACCTATAGTGAACATATATACGGAAATACTGTTTTTGTTTAATACTAAGTTTTACCGTTGAGGTATTTTTTTCTCTCACTGCTACTTCATTGTCACCCCCACGATTTTTCTCAGTACTTGAAACCAAATAAAAGCCAAAGCCAATAATTAAATATCAGCTTAAGGGACGAGCCTCGCGAAACAGAGTAGCTCTTGTAGCGTGTCTTACTGCGGTGGGAGTGCGAGATAATGCTTTCTCCATCATTGCGGCTGACAGAGGATAGCCAAAAAAAAAAAAAAAATTATTGACGTAATTTTTCAGTTGACCATATGAATATACAATACCATTTTTAAATTCCTCTAGTTGCTAACGACATTTTGTTTGTTGTTTATAGATAATACATTTTTAATGAATTCATTTCGTTTATCTGCCTTGAAAAAGTTCACAGTGAACGAAACGTGTCGGCTAAATATGAGATATAAGCAGTCAATTATGTGCCATGCGTGATACACGCTAAGGCGATCATGTATCTTTCGATATATGACTCACGAGGGAGATTTTATTCCCCGCAGTAGGTTGCCATTTCTTTCTGCGGTTTACCCATAGCTGGGCTGAGAAGAAGAGGATTCATACCTTTCCCAAAGGTATTTGACTGGAATTCGAACTCGGCTCTCCGATTCTTCCATCCGAAACGTTATCCATTATTCCACCATGCCTTCTAAGATACAAGCAATGAAATTAAAACCCCCCTTTTTCATTTCATTCTTATTTTCCTCTCTTTACATTTCTCTTTCTGCTTTTTTATATCTGTTTTTATTTTCTTTTTCTCATTCTTCTAATCCGTTTTTCAGTCGTCTCTTGTTATCATTTAGTCTTTTTTTTTATTTAACGTAAATATATGTATTTAGGGGATTTGGTTGGAGTGTCGAATAACTCCCATTCAGAAGTCCTTGTGTCCGGATCATTGTCCTGCAAGTTTGAACTTTCTGATTTATTTAACAATTCCTCCCCGACCAGTTCACCCTTCTATCATCTATTCAACGCGCCACCCTCTCGCCATTTCTTTTCCGCTTTGGCCTCTTCCATTGATGGAGAGCCAACCAAGAGCTTCGATCAAAGCATAATGGAAGGAACATCCCGAGGTGGCTTGTGTCATCACAGAAAAAGAACGGGACGAACAAAAGAAAAAAAAATGTTGACCTGCCAAATCGTAGAGCTAACCGGAGGATTTTTCGTAAAGAAACCTCAAAATGCTTGGCTCAAAACTTTTATCTTTTTCTTTTGTTTTTCTTTATTTTATTTTTTTCGAATATCTTTTTCTTTATGACTTTTTATTTTATTTTACAAGATTTCTTTGTCTCTGACAGTTTCTTCTTTTCTTTCTCCTTTCTTTTTTCTTTTTTTTTATATGATCTCTCTTTTTATCTTCATTCTCCACTCTCTTTATCTTTTATTTAACTACACCCATTCGATTAACGGTCTCCTCTCCTCCTATTTTTGCTTTTGCCTCAATCTTTCATGCGTTCGTCTATATAACTTTCCCATATCGCTTTTCGTCTGCTTTTGTCTTTCATCTCAGCTAAATCTCTCTTCCTTTCACTTCTAATTTTATACCATTTTTTTTTTTTTCTTTTTTTTACACGTCCTCTTTTCATTTACACGTTTTCTCTTCCTTTTCTTCTAGCCATGTATTGTGTTCTTTTATCAACTTTAGGTAGAATGCATTCATACATATTCTTGGTAACTTTCAGGACTTCTTTGTATTACTTTACTAACCAAACATTGTCTATTACTTTTTAGTATCATTCATATTTTCCCGTCTTTAAACAAGAAATATAGAAGCACATTCTGTATATATACGTAAAAAAGAGTAACTAACTCTTCTCTATTGTATTGGACAATGTCATGTTTATATAACATTTTTTTTAAATAAGACTTTTACGTATATAAATAGGTGTCATTATTTTATTTTATTATAGCTAAGAACATACATTTTGTGATTTGTTAATAATATGTAAAAAATCTTTTTGTAAAGTTTTATATTTCCTTTTATAACGTCTTTTGCTTTCTGTGGCAGAGAAAATAAACAATTTCTTTTAAACATTTATTATTAGGACAGATACAATACATAGTATTCTTTTGGGGTGATGTTTTTGTTTAAATGTAGTGTTCTCTGTACGAATATCCATTTGTAATAAGTCTAACAATTAAGTGTTGATCAAGAATCCGATTCTCACCTGCTGTAGAATAGCAGTTGTGTTTCAAACTGGAATAAACTAAAATTTATGATAGCCATGTGGTGTCAATGTCTGGTATGCAGAAATAGAGTAATGATTTTAAAACCTAGTGGGAGGGGAGAATGGAAATCATGTAGTTTATTAACGCAGAGGTTTACATGAACTTGATTGGGAAATTGATAGTATGAACATTTAGAAATCAGTATAATTTTAAGAAAATTGAAGCAGATTTCCTAAATTTTTTTCTTTGACTATTTGCTAGTTTTGTTTCTCTATCAAAAAGTTTTGATTCTTTCTTCTGATTTGACTTTTTTTTTCTCAATTCTGATGGTTTTCATCTCTTTAAGAGAAGGAAAATCGTCAAAACTGTCAAATTAGTTTCACTTTTTCTTTCTTTCCTCCATTTTAAAATTTCTCTTCTTTACTACATTTATTCCTCTCCATTCTTTTATTCCTCTCCATTCTTTTATTCCTCTCCATTCTTTTATTCCTCTCCATTCTTTTATTCCTCTCCATTCTTTTATTCCTCTCCATTCTTTTATTCCTCTCTATTCTCTTCACTCTAAATGTCTCACTCTCATTTACACTCGTACAATGTCCTCATTAATTCTCATTCACTCAACTCTCTCTAATAATTTATTTTCACTCACCCTTTCTCTCCCCTCTCTCTATCGTCTCCTTAATTTTACTCCCCCCTGCCCATCTACTTAATTTGATATCCCGAGGTATGTTATTCAAAGCCACTCGACTGAATCTCTGCACGAGTTTTCTTGACTCAAGGACACAGCGTTTTTAGATAAAAGCCTCGACAGAATGTCCAACATGGATGCGTTTGTCAGCCTTTGCTTTTGAACAACATATGTGCATAACTGTAAAACAATGCGTTTAGATATATCGGACGTCAACAGTTTAATCGACTCATGATTTGTCTATTCGACAATGTGGTCTGCAGCTTAATTTCCGGTCTGCTTTACAAAACTGGGTCATGTAGATATCTTAAACTTCAAAGAGTTGCGGCAAAAAGGGGAATTTAAACATCATATTGCCTTTTCGTAGATGCTTGTTTTGCGGACATCCACTGAACGGCAATATGGCTGTCTTCATCACTGGATTATAACCCACTGACTGCGGAATTATTTCGTTGCGCTAGAATAATAATAAAAAATCGAACAAAAAAAAACAAACAGGATTTGTAAGACGTATATTCTAGCCGAGGTTCCATTCAGAATTTCTTTATAATCCAGGAATATCTAACAAATATCCTTTCCAACAATAAAAATTCTGTAAACAAATAATATGACAACTTTGTGATATATTCCACTGCTGTTAACGAAATAAAACATCTATACTCTGAAACGGTATTCATAGAATAGAACATCAATGCAGTATTGTTGATTTTAACGTTGGAGTAATGGATAGCGGCTCTGATTGAGGAATCCATTATATTCACTTACGTGCTAATACCCCTAGGAAAGGCATGAATCCTTTTCTTCCAAGCTATGAGTAAATAGCAGAACAGACTATGAATGTCAACTGGTCTACCGTAGAAAGAAATGGCAAACTACTGCGGGGAAAAAATCTGCCTCGTCAGACATGTATCGAAAGATACAT